GGCCACCTGAGCAGAGCATGTTCTTGTGCCATGGCAAGCCCTGGCCAGGGGGAGATCTCAGGGGGGTTTCTGCTGAGTGGAGGGAGTGCCCCAGAGCCAGAAGGGCGCCTGGGCGGCAGATGGTGTTTGAGGAGGTGCTGTGTTCCTGCTCCTCCGCCCCCACAGCCGGCCTGTCCTGGGGACGCCTCCACCTCCCATCCCATGCCAGTTATTCCCCAGAGTGGGGTGCAAATGCCGCTTTTCATTCATTCTCCCTGCCGCCTGCTCCCACGCTCTCTCCCTCCTTTCCTGGCAACTCACAAGCTCCCTCCTGCTCTGCTCCTCGGTCCCATGCCCCCTGCCCAGCAATCAGTCCTCCCACACACGCTGACAGCCAGCCTCACTGCCATGCAGGCACCTGCTCCCACTCACCTCCTGGCGACAAGCCACCTTGGACAGAGGTGCCACATCCAAGGCTCTCTCCCGACTCCTTCTCACACCCTCACACACTCGCAGCTCACATGCTCTAGTTCTCATGGATTCCAGGGAGGGTCCACAGATAATGTGTGTGTGACCTGTGTGGGAGCCAGCCTCCTCACCACACTGTTCTTTCAGACAGCTCAGCCCCGAAGAGCCTCCTGGTAAAAGATGTGGGGGAGACATTAGAATCCTAATCTCTCACTGGGAGAAGCACAGGACATGATGAGGGGATGGAGGTGGCAGGTGGTGTGGACAGAAGTCTGGACAGCTGACTCTGATGTCCCTTTTGTTAGGGGGTGTGTGGTTGTTTTTGTTGTGGGCCATCCAGTTAGAATAGAACCATAGCTGACCCTCCAGTGGGTTTTCAGAGGCAGTAATTTGCACGGGAGGCAGTAATTTGCATCCTATTCCTGCAGAGCAGCTGGTGGATCCAAACCATGTTCCTCTGGGATTGCAGTGCAGCTTCTTGCCACTAGGCCACCAGAGCTCCCCTTGCCCTTCATTGAAGGTGGTAAGTGAGTAGGATGGGGGTGGAAAATCTTGCTGTTTGGACTACTCATTCTCTGTTGAGGATTCATAGTCATGTAACACAACCCTACACTGACAACCCAGTCCTCTTTCTCAGCCACTCACAGGCACGCATGCACACACATGTACACAACGTGGGCTGAATGCTCCGAGCTCTTCCACCTCTTCACTCATTGCTTGCTCTCTCTCTCTCTCTCTCTCTCTCTCTCTCTCTCTCTCTCTGTCTCTTTTTCCTCCTTTGCTCTCCTGGCAAGATCTTGATTCATGCCCAAGATTCATCCCTAAAGTCTTGATTCATCTCTAAGATCCGGCTCACATGACCAAAGCCTTTCTCCGTCCCACCAGCCCCTCTCCTCCATGCCCTGTGCACCCGTTACAGCAAGCACTGCAGCCATGGAATGTGTGCATTTCTCCCTTTACCAAGCTATGAATTACTAAAGAGCACAGGCTGGACGGGTGCAAACTTGAATCATCAGCCAGTAACCTGTGCACAATCAGGATCCACTTGCAGCACTGGGTGGAAGCAGGTGCTTTGTGGGTGGGTGGGAGTGGTGGGGGCCTCACTGGGCTGTCTTCATCCTAGAGAAGGGAGTGTGGGGTGAGAGGACAATCTTGCTTCTGGAAAACTCTTCTCACTTAAGAGCCAGGTCACCTGACCTCACCCTCTCACCCTTCTGTGGATGCCTGCAGGCCTCTAGGCCATTTGGATGACTCAGTTCTGTTCTCTTTCCTTGACACTGTTCTTCCCTGGTATTCTCCCCCACCGCCCGACCCTTTCTCTCTCCCTGCTAGTCCAGAAACTTCACTTGGTGGCTTGGTGACTGTCTCATTTGTGACTTTTGTTCCATTTTGTAGGTGAATCCGATGGTGACATTTTGCATAGCCCCACTGCAGCAGACCACCAGTGGCCTCTTTGCTGCTAGAAGTAGAGTCATTTCAAAACCAAACCCACTGCCAGTGAATTGGTTCTGACTCATAAAGACCCTGCAGGACAGTGTGGAACAGCCCCATAAAGTTCCCAAGGTGGTAAATCTTTACCGAAGCCGACTGCAACGTCATTCTCCCTTGGAGCAGCTGGTGGGTCCAAACTGCCAACCTTTCAATTAATAGCAGAGCATTTTAACTACTGTGCCATCAGAACTGCTAATAGAGTCCTTTAAATCCAGTGCCATTGAATTGATTCTGACCTACAGAAACTCTGTAGGGTGGAATGTAACTGACTGTTCGGTTTGCAAGGTTATGAATCTTTGATAGAAGCATCCTTGTCCTGTGATCTTTGGATTAGCGGCCAGGTTCCTTAACCAGTATGCCACGAAGGCTTGCAATGAAGCATTGGGGCCTTTAAGTCTAGCCAGACTTGAGAACCATTGCTGGTTCACCATTGAGCATTTGGGGGACCCTCACAATCTCTAGGTTGGAAAAACACCCAGGACTTGAGTACTTCAAGTGTCTGACTCAGGGTAAGAACTGATTTTTCCATGAAGGTTCTGAGTTTTAGGGGAAATTTACTAAGAAAAGATTTCACAATCATTTTAGAAAGAATAGAACCCATCCTTTGGAGCAAATGAGAGGTGTATGTGTAGAGGGGTGGGTGGGAGGATGATTTTACAATGCTATTCTTAATCTGCTCCCATTGCCAGATTCAAGCGGGGCATGTTTCATGTTATTTTATTCCCTCTGCCGTGAAGCATGTTGAAATGGAAACCTTGTTCCACCAGGTTAACATGGTCTTGAAGAGGAACTACATATGCGCACAGATACACATACACACCAGCTGTGCGCATGCGTATAGAGATGGTGACAGCACTGAGGGTGAGCCTGTGCCAGGAGGAGGAGGCTGCCTTAAGTCCCAGGGAACCCCAAGAGAAAAATGAGGGGTGCCACAAAACCAGCTGAACTCTAATCACCTCTGGCCTATAGCTGCAGGGAGCACGGGCGCGAAAAGGCACATTTTAGATGGGAGCGATAGGATGATGTGATTTGATCCGTTCTGGTTTGCAGGAGCAGGGGGTGCCTCTTCTCTGGGGGACACGGTGCTCCCCTGATGGCCTCTTCGAAGGGGCTGAGGTTGTGAAGTGCGAATAAGGTGCAGATGGGGGCTTATCCAGGCCATAGCACCAGGTTGCTTACAGCCACGAAAGAATACTGACTTTAAGCAGGAGCCTTGGAGAAACCAGCTGCAGCGCAGAAGAACGAGGCAGTAGTACAGGAGCGTGGCAAAAGCAGGAGCCAATGAGAGGGCCCTGCTGATTGGAGATCAGCACAAGAGAAAGGGGAGACTGAGATAATAGGGACTTCCTGAAGCTCGGGACCTAGCTTAATCCAGTGTTTTTAAAACCTCTGGACGTCTTTTCATCCTGTTGTGTACTCATATCTAGAGCATCCTCCCCGGTTCCCTCAACGTACCAGCACAGGGGGCTGTGGTGGGACAGCAGGGGTGAAGGCGGTGAAGCAGCTTGGAGACCTGCCAAACTGCTCATCTGAGCCAAGCAGGTGGGTGGGTGAGGCTCTGAAGAAGGGACGGTCCACACGGGGAATAAATTACTGCCAGGAAAGGGTATGATCTAGGACTTGTTCTGCATTAGAGATGTCTTGCGGTGTGGAACCACAGATGTGAGCATGGGCAGTGGAGAGGCCTGGGAGGAGCCTCTTCTCCACCCTCCTGTTTACAGAGATGGAGGAGTTGACAGCAAACAAGTCATCCTCAGCTGGGTTCCCCTTGGTATCCACTTGTGCTGAGAATCAGCCCCTAGATGAAGACCTCCATACCTTGTGCCCTTTGACATTAGATAACAAAGAAAATCCATAGTCTTCCAAGCGAGAACCTGACGTCCTGGACCTCAGAAAATCACCCACATGGCAGAGTTCGAAGACCGAACCAGCTGTACCTCTACGAGCCACTAGGTGTCACTGACGAGTGAGGTAGAGGCCAATTTGCAAATGATGGAAGAGGCTTCTGGGAGATTTCCAGGTGCTCCACCCCTTCTTCTCCATTTCTTAGGAGCCTCCTCCCTTGAGGTGGAAAGGCCTGAGCCATCCGCACTGATGGAGAGCAGATGCTGAGGGTGCGGCTGTTGGCTGTGTGTCCTCACTGTGAACACTGCGTTCCCCAGGGTACCAGGCCTCTTGTGGGTGCATAAGGGGAGCCTGCAGGGTGAATCCATACCCATGCGGTCCAGCCTGAGGCTCTCACTCCCACTTCCTCTCTCACCCTGCTGGTTCCTAGCTCCTTGAGCCATTCTTTTCCTTTGAGTTTCCTTTCTCCTCTTACTCTTATCATATGGAAGCCTGGCCAGGAGCATGGATGTTTGTGTTCACCTTGGACAAAAAGGGAGGTGTGCTTAGCTCATTGCTTTCAAGTGATGACCGGGTTCCAGCCCTGTGGGGAACCCTCACCTCCACCTACCCATTCCCACACACTTCCTTTTGGGAGATGCAGGCTAGCAGATGTCAGAGCCAATGTCTTGCTAGGGTATGGGGTGGTGGAGTAGTTTTGGAAGAAGGGATCCTTGGTGGAAGCAGCTTGGGTTTCTCCACTTCTTTGAGCCAGAGCTGCCCATGATGGGGGAGTCTCCAACAGGCTTTCTGGGCCTCACCTCTAGGCTACTCATGACCGTCTTCTGCTTGACATGGTTAGGACCGAGATCCAGATGCCAGTTCATGACCCCAATTTATCCTGGAGAGATGAGTGAGAAAGAGAAAAGGGGATCTAAAGCCTTCAGACACACATCTAGCCTTCTCGGGTAAAGGGAGACCATATAAGGCTGGAAGTTTTGGGTGCAGTGGGTCTTTTTTAGTTGGGCTGGACCAAGTAAACTTGGAAATCTCCCTTTAAACACTGGGGGAAGGGGATGTAATAAAGTATACGGTTTTCGCCTGCTTCAGCAAGGTGGGTTAAGAAAGGCAAAGCTGGGAGCAAGAAATGGAGCTGGAGAGAGCCAGTGGTGGGCTCAGAGGCCTGAGCCACCAACATTCAAGTCTGATCCAAAGGCAATGCTGGGGTGGATGGGAGCCTAAATGACCACCGACTGCAGGAGGCGGAAGCACATCATGAGGTCCAGAGGGATGGGCGGCTTCAGGTAGTTCCCGTCCAGGCGCAGGTAGCGCAAGTGTGGTACGTTCTCTAGATCTGAGGAGAAGTCATGGAAGGCAACCAGGTTGTTGGGGCAAATCTGGGTCCCATTGATTTCTGCAGAGAAAAAAAGAAGAGAGGTCAGCAACAAAATGGCCTGGTCAGGACAGAATGGGGCAGGAGACAAAGGATGAGGGTGGAAAATGGGGGCACAGCTGAGACTAAGAAGAACAGAGTTCTCGTCTCTGGACCTGGCTGACTTCCAGAATGTGTGACTGTGTGCCCATGAGTCACCCTAATCTCTAAGCTTAGTGTACTGATTTGTAAAATGAGTGAAGTTGGAGTAGATCAACAATGCTTGTTTTTGGAAAGACTCTGGGGATAATCGTGGAGGAAGTCAACTCTGAACTGAGCCTTCAAGAGTAGGCAGAATGACAACAGCTGGAGACCTGGAGAGGGGTGTGCTGATTGAATGACCTGCTTGAATGAAGGTGTGGAGGCAAAATAACTCTAGGCAGAACCTGGGAGTAGTTAACTGTGCAATAGCATCACTGGGGAAAAGAAGCTGCAAAGGGAAGGTGTGGTCAAATGTTGATTGACTCTCCACTATTTCCCTTCAGTCTCTAGACTGTGGAATGGTATTGAGCAGGAGATGAGAGATTAGGTTTATAGTGTAGAAAGATGATCCTAACTGCCGTGTGCAGGAAAAGAATGAATGAGGTGAGATTTTACACATTTGGATTTTAACTGAAATAAAGATGAAGGAGGAAGAAAAGGAGGCTTTGGAGGTTATACAAAGGACCTGTGGCCATGAAGAGCCTGTCCTTGAGTGTCCATGGACCTGAGATTCTTTTTTCTTCTTTATCTCTTAGAAGATGCTGGCTAGGTTCACATATTTCTTTAAATTAAACTTTTCTCTCCTTCCCATAATCTTGTCTCCATTTATCATCTGTGACTTATTTCCCTTTTTCGGGGTCTATAGCTGCCATTGCCTCCCGTGCAATTAACTGCTTCTGAAAACCTGCCAGAGGGTCACCTATGGGTCAGCTCTGACTCTGTGGTACACAACAACATAGCTGCCCTGGGAGTCCCCAACACATTGTGATGAAATACTGCCAGACCCACGTCATCCCTGGGACTAGGGGTGGAGTACATTGTTTGGAGCTTTGGGTGTTCATCGGCTCATTTCAGAAGTAGAGAGCCAGGCCATACTCAGTTAGTTCACTGTAACCTTGAACCTCTGTGGAAATCTACGGAGCATGACAGCAACACAAAAGCCACCACTGAGGTGGTGGCAGCACACGAGGCTCGTCGGCTGGGATTTGAACCACAGTCTCCTGCACTAAAGGCGAGAATTTGCTCACTGAGCCACCAGTGTCTCATCTTCATTATTGGAGAAGCAGAAAGAGCCTTGTCGTGGGAGACAGAAGTCTTGAGTGATAGTGAACAACTGGGGTAGATGCAGAAAGATGGGAGTGGGAAGCCTCTTGACCTGCCCTTCAGAGGTTAGCGATGTCCCCTGAACACCCTGGTCTTCTTCAGTCCTGTAAAGTCCTGTCAGCCCCTGAGGAATCAGACTCTCCTTTCTAGCTACATTTTCAGCCCACACAATTTCCTGTGGGTAGCGTGTTCTGTCAATTTACTACCTGCAGGGTAACATTAAGCAGCTTCTCTCCTTTCCTAATTCATTTATCTCAGAATTTAAAGAAATCCTCTCCCACTTTTATAATTATCTCAGACTCATGAAGAGATCTGCTTCCACATCCGGAAGAGATCCGCTCCTGCACCCATTTGTTTGATAATTGGGGGCACTTTGACCATCTCCTTCTCCTTCCTTTGGTGAGGAAACTTGGAATTTCTAGTATTGCTTGAGGAATCATTTCTGTTCTGTTTCATGCTTGTCTTCTTTTCTGTTGTTGAAGCCCTACTTTTGCTTAAGGACCAGATACTACTTCCTTTCCTCAGCTTCTAAACTCTTCGACTGAAGCTCTGCTCAGAGCTGACATGGTGGTTTGGAGCAGAGCCCTGTAGCAGAGCTCTGTCCCCCACTTCCCTCTCCTGGGCCCAACTTATACTGTTAAGCTCCCCCCTTCACCCCAGCTCTTGTCTTGTTTATCATCTGTGAATGTTTTCCTTTTTTTGTTGTTCATAGCTGCCATTGAGAAACTCCATCTACAGTGGAATGAAACACTGCCAGGCCCTGTGTCATCCCCATGATCCATGGAAGATCAGATTAGCAAATGTGGCTTAGGCAAGCTCTCCTCTAAATCACTGACTTAGAAGACTAGATAACAGTGTTCCAGACAGATTCAGAAAGCATTAGCATGCAGTCTTACTTCCTGGCTGACATGTTTTTACCATGTGCCTGCTCTGATTAGGCAGATTTCTGCGTATCTTTCACAGTCTCTTTAAAAATCTAGATTCGGAGTTGTGACACAACTGTCTCCCACCACTGTCAGCTTCTGCAGCATGCAAACCCCAGGTGTCTCAGGGGGCATGCTCAGATGTCTCCTTCTGCTCTTAGGAGAATGTCCAGTATGTTTCATGTCCATCTAACATGATAGATCTGAATGGCAAAGAGAAGAAAGGGTGAGGGATAAAGAAGGGAATATGCTTCCCTTACTGATTGCCTGCCAGGCATGGCAGAAGTTGTTTTAGGAGTCCTTGTTGTGGTAACTATTGAGTTGGTATCAGCTCGTAACTGAATTTTCAGAGGCAGTGGATTATACGGGAAAAGGCGGTCCATTTTCCTCCTATGAAGTAGCTGGTGGATTAGAACCACCAACCTTTGGGTTGGCAGTGCATCTCCTGGTGTAAATGGTTAAGCGTTGAGCTTCTAACAACCTGGGAACCAAGTCCATCGAGAGGTGCCTTGGAAGAGAGGCCTGGAATTCTACTGCTGAAAAAACAGCCCTTGAAAGCCTGATGGAGCAGAGTTCTACTCTGACCCTGCCAAGGTGGCCATGAGCTGAGATTGACTTAATTGGCACTGGTGCTGGGGGTGTTTCAGACACTTTCTACAGTCTAAACTGTGAAGTCCTTACATCAGCTTTGTGGCAGAAGACATTATATAACCATTCTCCTATTATACATCAGGGCACTGCACAGAGTGGGAAAGAGCTTTTCAAGGACACAGACACTAAGTGGAAGGGCCCAGGTATGAGCGGACATCTGTTACCGAAGGAGGAGCTTTTTGCCTCGACCCACTGCGAAGCCCCGCCCCACTCAGCGGCCCCGCCCCATGCAGAGGCCCCGCCCATCACGAAGGGCCCCCCCCCCATGCCGAAGCCCCGCCCCACTCACTCTCGATGGAATTGTTGTTCAGGTACAGGTGCTCCAGCTTGTTGTTAATGGCAGGCACATTGCTGATCTGGTTGTGTGACAGGTGGAGCACCAGCAGGTTGGAGAGGTTAAAGGAGTTCTTGGGGAGTCCCCTGTCTGACAGCTTGTTGTAGTTAAGCCGGATGAAGGCAAGGTTGGGGAAACCCTTGAAGTAACCATTAGGGATGGTCTCAATCCTGTTGCTGTCCAAGAAGAGCTGGTGAAGAGCGGGCACCTTGGGTGGCATCTTTCTCAGGATGTTGTGGGCCAGGTTGAGCTGCATAAGGTTCTTGAGGCCCTGGAAGGTGTCCGGCTTTAAGACGGCATCGCTCAATCTGTTGTGTTGAAGATCCAAGAGCAGTAGATTCTCCAGCTTACTGAAGACCCCGGGAGGGATTTTGGAGATCTGGTTCTGGCTCAGCCTCAGCTGCTCCAGGTTCTTGGGCAGGGCGGAGGGAACCTCTTCCAGCTGGTTCTTCTCCATGTAGAGGAAAACCAGGCTGGGCAGTTTCTCCAGCACCCTCTGATCTACCTTGCGGATCCGGTTGTTGTCCAGGTTGATCCACCTCAGACCCGAAGCATTCTTGAAGGACTCGAGCGGGAGCTCGGAGATGAAGTTGTTCTGGAGATAGAGGTAATGGATTCGGGATGGAATGACAGGGACCTTGCGCAGGTTGCGGCTGTCACAGTAGAGGGCTGATGGGAAATCATAGGGGCAGTAGCATTCTCGGGGACAGTCAGGGAAGATGGATGGAGGACCTGGGGGAAGCGGGGGAGGCAGGTCCGTGGGTTCCAAGGGCTCAGCAGGCCTGGGAAAGCGGGGTGTTGGTCTGGGCCTGGGTCTGGGTTTGATTTTCGGCCGCTTTGTTGGCCGGCCTTGTGTCACGTAGGCCAAGATGACAAGTGGGAGGAGCCAGCAGAGGGATGACCTCATGGTCTAGGTGGCTGACTCGCCTAGGGAAGGAGATACAGGAGACCGTTAGTTCCTTGAGTCTCAGAAACCAAATGACTTGTCTCTGCAGCTAGAGTTGGCCAGACTGCTCCTATTTGCTTATGCCCAGCAGTTGAGGGAGTAACAAGGGCTGAGGGAGGCTTTTATCCCCTGGCCAGATCCAGCCTTTGATGTGTTTAGCCTTTTCTGGAAAGGTTGAATCATCCTGGTAGGACGTACATTCGGCTTGTTAGAGAAAACCATTAACCTCTCTGGCCCCAAGTTTACCGCTTACACCATGAGAAAACCATCCCTAGCATCTTAAGTCCTTCTCCTTGGAAGACTAGAAGTTCCACGCAGGAGGTGAAGACCCTGGATGAGATGGAATGGCACAATGGCTGTGACAATAGGGTCAAGTGTGTCAGAGACGGTGAGGGGTGGTTGTTCATAGGGTCATTATGATTCTTAGATGACTCGACAACACATAACAACAAGCATTCTAAGAGAAATAATAGGCTCTAGGAACTTTAAAGTCATGGAATACGTAATCTGAAACAGGTCCTCAGAAATCTCCTAACACAGTTTTCAAATTTTGCCCCCTGGAAGCTCCTCCCCTTCCTGTTGTGTCCTCCTCTCTTGGGGAGGTGATTGAGTGGATAGCCCCCAACTCAGTCCTGCATCAACTTGAGTGGCTCTGTTTTTAATCTGTTTTATATTTTGACTTTCAGCCAAAGAATTAACTTAGAAAAAATTTTTATTGCTAAAAATGACTTGAAATCCACCAATCAAGTCCACCGTCCACTGTTTACAGAGTGAAGACTGGATGGAAGCCAGAAAGCTGTTTTAACACAGGGTGAAAAACCCAGGTCTCTCACCTTACAGAGAGGAGCTGGGGCAGGGGGAGGTACTGGGAAGGCCAGCCGGCAAGAGCTGCAGACACCCACAAGTTTGTTCACTCCTGTGCTCTGGTGCCTCCCAGCTCGCTTTGCACACCCTGCGTTTGAGTCAGAGAATTTGGGTCCCTGCCAGCAGGGGAAGCAACCAAGAATTTCTCCCCAGATGTGGGATCTGAGGGAGAAGTAAGCAGGCAGAGAAGGATATTGAGAAAACACTTTCTTTCCTTCTGACGTGGTACTGTTAATCCCCCTATCTACTGCAGCTGGTGAGATTGAGGTGGAATACTAGGAAGAACTCCCCACTGGTTTGTTGGCATGGAGGTTGTGGTCAGGCTTCCTTTCCCATTGGCTGCCTGGAACAGGCCCTGTGCCGTGGGAGGTGGACGCTGCGGGAACAGCCAACCAGAGAGGTCCAGGAAGATCTGGTGCTCCACCTCTGCCCCATCCAAGAGAAAGCTCAAATGCAATCTAAACTTTCCAGGGCTGGATTTGAACCCAAGTTCCTCTGCTTCCTTGCTGTGCATCCCTGAGCTTGTTACTTTGCATCCTCAGCTGTAAAATGAGAGCAAGACTAATCTTTGCTGACTTGTTTTTGACGGCTTACTACAGCAAAGCCCCAGTGTTGATGTTTGTTGATATTTGTCAAGTTTCTGCACACTTTATAGTTAAACCTGGTACTTGACAGTGTTCTGTTTAATTTTTAAACAACTGGGGTCAAATAGAAAGAATGAGGAAGTGTGAAGTTTCTCCATAGGAGCAGTATTTTTAGGGAAGGGGAGGGGTCGGTCACCTGTTGGCTTGGTGATAGTTTACACTGAGCAGGGGCATGGGCAGAGGGAAGGGGGTGCTCATCTGGATCCATCCCTTCCCTGTCATTACAGGGATGGGATGGGGGTAGATTTGGAAGGTGGTGGACCACTGATGCTGGTGGGGAGGTTTGAAAGAGCAGTGGAACCATGCAGAAGCTTGGGTAGAGGCATAGCATATTGACTTTGGCTCCCAGAACACACATCGCTTTACAGATACACTAATCCTGTTCTGTTCTTCTCAGGATGGGCCTCTCGTCTCATGGCAAGTAAGTGGGAAGGGCGGCTCCAGGCTAGGGGTTTGGGGTCAGACCTTCAGTCTCTGTGACTCTTGCCAGCTGGCACCACATCCGCATACCCTGTTGACACTCAGCCAGGGCCAGTGGGTTGAGCCCAACAGAAACAGTAAAAATATCAGTAGATCCAAGTTACAGACAGAAAGTGGCTGAGAAAGGCCAGGGGAAGGTGCTTCCTATCCCTTTCTGCCCCAGAACATCATCTTTGTGGCAACCCCTCTGGTCTCTAAGGATTGGGTCCAGCCACACTGCTTCAACTAGCCCGTTTTGCTTCTTTCACACAATTGTGGTGGGTGTGCCCTTCTCCTGGGGTGGGAGACATGCTGGAAATGTGGACTTCTTGGGCTTCTAAGAGGTAAAGCTGGTGTCTGGGCCCCATGATCAGTGCCTCAATTTGTCACCTCCTGCTGTCACTTACCTTCCCTTTTAGCCTGAATTGGCTCAGCCCATGCCTCACTTGGCCTAGCACCCAGCTGCTTGCTGGCTTTGGTCAGAGGGAAAGAGCAGAAACCCTGACCAGCTAGTACAGTAATCCAGGGAGAGGCTCAGGAGGAAAGCATGTGGTAAGAAACAGGAAAAAGAGCAGAATGTCACCACACTTTGTGTGGGTGCAGTGATATATCTACTTTATCACACACACACAGTCACTCACTCACTCTATCTCCAGGATATTCTCTCTCTCTCTCTCTCTCTCTCACACACACACACACACACACATACACACACACTCTTCCATGTTCCTCTTCCCAGAGTACACATCTAAGCAAAGCAAACTCTGTCACATATCATTTGTGTTCATGTGGAGAACACATTTGTGTACTTGAAGTATAGGAAGGAACAAAGAAAAGAGGCCAGGAAGGAGGGAGGAAGTGTGACAGGAAGGGAGGGAGGAGAGGGAGGCAAAAGGCAGGCAGGCAGGCAGGCAGGCAGGAAGAGGCGGTCTTGTGGCTGCTCATCCTCCCTCTCAGGCGGTCCTCTTCCCAAGGTCCTCTGCTGTACTGGGGAAACATGTGCTGTTAGGGACCTCTCCTAAGTGCTGGAGAGCAAGGCTGTCAGTTTAAAGACTAAGGTGCACCTGCCTCAAGCCATGATATTTTTTAGTTGCTTACTATGCATTTAAGAGTTGGACAATGACTAAGAATGACAAAAGAAGGATTGATGCCTTTGAATTATGATGTTGGAGAAGAACACAGAATAGCCCAGGGGTTGCTAAAAGAACAAACAAGTCTCTCTTGGAGAAGATGCAACCAGAGTGCTCCTTAGAGGCAGGGATGGTGAAATTTCTTCTCATGTACTTTGGGCATGATGTCAGGAGGGGCCGGTCCTTGGAAAAAGATATCATGCTGGGAAAGGTGGCAGATCAGAGAAGGAGGAAAGATCTGAACAAGATAGACTGATGCAGTGACTGTAGCAACGGGCTTGAGTGTATCAGAGGTGGTGAAGATGGCACAGGACAGGGCAAGGTCCAGATGAAGTGTTCACAGGGTCGCTCTGAGTGGGTAGTCAACTCAATGTCACATAGTAACAAAAACAACAACTATCTATCATCAAGGGCCTTACAGTTTGGTTCTTGGCCTTACCTCCACTGAAAGGACTGAGAAGGAGAGGCATTCATTACAAACTTTAGACTTGAGTCTTGTTGTCAGACCCCTCACTACTTGTAACTGGTGAGCTATGAACTAATCTAAGTCCTATAATTTTCTTGAAAATAACACAGTCATGTTGCATATAAATTAAGGGGTGGTTAAAACATTAATGCATTTTAAAAAGGAAACATTTTTTAAAGCCCAATTTTGTGATTCTGTTACTTATTTATTTTAGAGCATTTATCTTATAATCATCCAGAACCTTCTAAATAAGCAAGAATTCTTTCATGCTGTGAGAAGACCAGCCCCACGGCGCTTCCCAGCACCAGCTGGAGTTTCCCTGCTTCCCATCATAGACTTTGTCACTAAAAGCAGACAGCAGGTGCCGGATACCACAATAAATTAAGCTTGCCAAGAGCATCAAGCAAAAGGCTGGTCTGTGAGCAACTGGCCTTGGCCGGTGGAGGTCGCTCAGTGCCCTGGAGGGACTAGAGCTAGTAGACTCCTCCACCACTCACTTCCTCATGCCCCCCTCCAGGCCAGTACCTCCTGGAAGCCTTTTGAAGGTCTGATCAGTGCCAATAGGATATTCCCAAGGAAAAACTCCCTGGGTGTAAGTATGCACAGATGCTTTTGTATGTTAGATTAGAACCTGTGTGTGTGTGTGTGTGTGTGCACGCGTGCACGTGTACAGACACGCACACACACACTTCTTTCTTAAGAAAATAGCCTTCTTAAGAAACTTCTTATCAGGCATGAGCTTGTTCTGACAACATATGTGTTTCTCTGAAATACTCTAAGATTCTGAAGCCAGAATCTCTGAGCTGGACCGTAGGGCCGTGGACCACAGGAGAAGTGATCATCTCCCTCCTCCACAAAGCCCCCAAACCACACCCTATGTTCCTCTTTGCCAGAACCTTCTGTCCAACCATATAGCTCCTTTGTTGCTGGGTACCATTGAGCCAATTCTGACTCATAGCAATCCTATAGGAGAGAATTGTCCTTTCCGATAAATTTTCCCTATAAAGCTTCCTGAGCTGTAGTCTTTACAGAAGCATATTGTTGGTCCTTTCATCCCACGGAGCAACTAGTGGGTTCGAACCTCTGGCCTCACAATCAGCAGCACAGTGCTTAACCATTGTTCCTCCTCTCTCCTATGTCTTCTTTCTTGTTGTTGTGTACTGTCAAGTCAGAACTGACCCAGAGCTGACCCTCTGGCAGGTTTTCAGAGGCAGTTAATTGCAAAGGAGAAGTTTGTCCATCCTTTTCCCACAGAGCAGCTGGTGGATTCAAACCCTGCGCCTTTGGGATAGCAGCACAGCTTCTTACCACTAGGGCCACTAGAACTCCCTCTCGTGTCTTTGCAAGCATGACCCGTCCCTCGCTGACTTTCTTTGGGCCTCTGCTGCCTGCTCAGTGAAAA